CAGATAACCAATTGTATGGTGCAAGAAATCTCAAAACAGACATGTGTACCTATTTACGTGTAGTATGTATGTATGTCAATGATATATACATACATATGCACATACATATGTAGATAGATGTACACCGTCAAACCACCTCAGATTAAGTGTCAAACCAGTTGAAGCTAGTTATAGSCAGATTTTGGGTCCATTCTACTTTGGTTTGTTGTTTGTTGACAATTATAGATAAATGAAACAAAAATATGCAAAGAGCACGTACAAAATTAAAAAAAAAAATATATAAATTTAAAAATTTAAAATATTTAGCAGGATTTCGTAATTAATTATGTTAATCTAGAAATTTTGTTGTACTTTAAGAATAATTAATATAAKTTTTTTTGGAGTTCATTTCAAGTTTCTATACATCAAAATTTTATTTTAATAATTGTTGACATTATTTTATTATTTATTTATGAATATATACATACATGTACGTGCATATGTACTAATGCCGGGTTTCCAGTACACCATATTCAGAGTCTTACCGACTTCAATTTTTATTACCTCCCTCTGGATGTCTGTTCGCCTCTTCATCGGAGGTTCATTGGGCCCATGAGGCATTTTTAGTCACAGCCTCCTCTCCTACAGCTTCTGGTCGGTGGCTGCTTATTACTATTCGCGGCTAACCCACTTAGCATAGGTCGTCGCTTATCCGCGAACTGTTACCTTGGTAGTAGCCTGAGCACATCTTCACCTAGCTCAGCCGTACCATCAGGCCCTTTCGTATCAGGCAAAATCATGCTTTAAGTGCTAAAAATAAATATTCCTCTGCTTTYCTTGTCAACTTAACAGCATTTTCCGACTGATTTGGTGAATTCTTTTATGRCACTACGATAACAATCGAAGCTAATATTAGTCAAATAAGAAGGTAAATTTGTAAATAATATGCTTTAGCCATTTAGCATTTTCTTCTAATATTTTTAAATAAAAATTTCTTATCGAACTATTTTTTCCTGTTCAGAAAATAAAAAACCAATGTTTTGAACAAAAATTATGTTTCAATATATTTCAAGACATTTCTAAAATGTGTGTTTATGCTTAAGTTTCGCTCAGATCCACTTCATTCGGCATGTTTTCAAGTCCTCAGTAACTTTTCTACAATTGAAATTTCAGTCAGGTTTTAACACTTTCCCACCCAAACATCCCAACAGATCTAAGGTTGCATTTACGTTATAAAATTTGATATGAAATGCGCAAACTCTCTCTTAATACAAAGCAACTCAAAAATTTACAAAGAAATCRTGTTGCTCTTCACATTTGAAATTAGTGGCAATTTGTAAGAAACACTTGTTTCAGTTAAGCCGCCAATTGTTAAAAACAAAAAACAAGCTTTCAAAATCCGACTTTCTGAACCTGTCTTTGCGGCTGGCGCACTAACTGACGTTCAAAACAATAACAATAAAAACTAATATTTTTCCAAACGTCCATCGACTTTGTTGTCTACGAAATTGGACGAATTACATATGCATACCAACAAAAACAGAAAAATGCGAACAAACAGCTAAATCAGAAAAACAAAAWTCGCAAATAACAAAAAAGTAGGCAAAAATTAGCATACATATGTATATACGTACATGCAAACATACAAAAACATACATATGAACTAAGAGAAGCGTTTGTAAAGCTTCAGAGGCGAAAAAGGCATAAACAACCATGTATACATATRTGTGTGTGCTATATGTTTTTATTGTGAATGTGTGCTATTTTATAGCACAAACAACTATGCAAATATTTATGTACATACATATGTACGTGTTGTATTTTTTATTGTTATTGTTAGGTGACATAACGAATTCGAACTGTTATGAATTAAGTCTTGCCACGAGTCAACGAAAGAAAATTAAAGAGGAGAAAAATATGRGAAAGAAGTAAGAATTAGAAAAAAGTTGAAAAAGTAATAAAAACAACGAAAAAATAAGAAAAATAATAAGAAGAAAAGTTAATTTAAAAATTATTAACTGACTTCAAAAAGCACCGAAGGTCACCTCAGCCAACATAAAAATTTGAAATTGTAAAAAACAAATTAAACAAAAAACAGCTGCAGGCGTTGCCAGACTTGTTATTTCAGCATTTTATGCGCACATCCGCCACGAAGTTAGAAGTGTGTGTCTACGCGGTTGAGCGTATACCGGTTGCGCGCTTTTCCAGCAATGGATAACAACAACAACGAAAAA